TATTTTTTAAAAAAATTTTTTGCAAACATATTTATTCAAAATGATCTTATTTAATCAAATTTTATTTGCAAATATTAAAATTTAAGTGACACATTTACAATTTTAAAGAAAAAATCACCGTATTTATTTTTAATGAAGTGATACAAATAAAAAAAACAATAACAATAAATAAAAAAGATAAGTAGATTACAATGATCAAGGAGAAAGATGCTAATAAAAAAATGAAATAACAATGGAATAATGGAAAGTAATAGAAGATGAAAGGGAGTAAAAAAGAGTAATGAGAAGTTTAGGAAACAAAAAGGAGAAATAGGACATGATGAGAGATAAAAAGTAGTGATGGGAGACGAAGAGTAGTGATGGGAGATGAAAAAAAGTGATGGGAGACGATGAGGAGTGATGGGAGGTAAAAAGGTGTGATGGGAGATGAAAAGAAGTGATGGGAGACGAAAAGAAGTGATGGAAGATGAAGAGGAGTGATGGGAGACGAAAAGAAGTGATGGAAGATGAAGAGGAGTGATGGGAGACGAAAAGAAGTGATGGGAGACAAAGAGGAGTGAAGAGGAGTGATGAGAGACGAAAAGAAATGATGGAAAGATGAAGAGGAGCGATGGGAGACGAAAAGGAGTGATGAGAGACAAAAAAGAAGTAAACAGGAGAGAAAAAGAGATAATGTAAAATGAAAGATGTAATAGAAAATAATGGGAGACGAACAAAAAATAAAAAAATGATCATGATAGGAGGTTGGGTAATGATAGGAAACCAAGTAAAAAAATAAAACCATAAAGTAAAAAAAAAAATGAAGTTAGTAAGAAACGAAATATAAGATAGAAACGAAATAAAAAATAAAAAAAAATGAGTAACAAAACGTAAAGTGAAAACAACTGAACCTTAATTGCAGAACCGGAAGGACTAAAGGACCTAAAAATAATGAAATAGAGTTAGTAAGAAACAAAGTGTAAGCAGAATGTAAGGTAGAAATAAAAATATAAGAAAAGAAAAACACCTTGAGACCGAAAGAACCGAGGAAACCTATACTGAAAACGAGATTCGATAAACATGACACGATCATGTGGCCAATCTGCCAATCAAAAATATTAATTTGTCACGTGATCGAAGACCCAGGCGATGTTTAGAATAAATTAAAAAAGTATGCTAATATAAATCAAAAAAGAATTACCCTTAAAATAAATAAATCAAAAAAGAATACTATTAATTATATTAATTAAAAAAAGAAAATATAGTATTATAAAATAAAAATAAAAATTTAAAAAAAAATCTGAAACCATATATTAAGAATAAAATTAAAAAAAAATTAAATCAATTACATTAATAAAAATTTTCCCAATAAATTTTCCAAAAAAAAATTTCAAGCCAAAATTCTCAATATTCTTATTTAAAAAAATTATTTTCAATAAAATTTCCTATTAAAGGACTTTTAAACGAAATTCTCCATCAAAAACCTTTCAACCAACAAAATTGTCAAAAGAAACTCTTCTATCAAAAAAAATCTTTCCTATTCTCTAACGAAATTCTCCATCAAAAATATTTTCACCTAGTATTAAAAAAAATTCTCAAAAGAAATTCTTTATCAAAAAAAAAATCTCCCCGTTAAAAAATTTTCTAACAAAATTTATCAAAAAAAAAACCTTCCCTATTAAAAATTCTCTAATGAATTTTCTATAAAGAAATATTTTTTAATATATAAATACTTTTTTTTGTTATGAATTGTACGCCATATAAAATAGCATGATTTGCTTAATGTTACACACAAAATAATTTTAATATGAAAATGATCTGCATGTGACATTTCCAGTGACTGTTAATAACTGAACTAAAATGTAAGCGAAAATATTTACATGATATCATGCATACTTTGATATTATCGAATGAAGGCTGTATAGTAAAATTTGTTACCATATATAATAGAAAGTGTTATATAACTAGTACAAACCAAGGTTAAAGTATCACAAAATATAAATTCTTCAGGTAGCTGAATATGTTATTAAATTAAAAATTGTATATCCCGTTTGTTCATATGTAAATGATTCTGAGAATGGTTACCTTATTTTGACCCTGTTTTTGACGCTAAGGAGGAGCAAACGAAGCTAAATGGAAGAAAACCTGTAAAAAAAAAGTCGAACCGTGTTTTAAATAAATTCCATCTTTTTTCCGTAAAAGGCTCATATTTCCGGAATTAATAACCTAATATCACGGAATTTATCGAACCATTTACATTTTGGAGTTTTTACGATGACCCGATATATCCCAGATTTTGACCCAGATTGACCCGGATGTGTTTAACTCTGGCCAAATTATAATATCGGCCGGAATTAACCTAGTAGTTAAAAAATAGTAGAAATAAAAATACTAGAACTTAATAAAATTTTAAATACACAGTTTAATTTAATTATTTATTAAATTTATTTATAAAAAAACTATTCTTGTTGTTAAGTTCTTTAGATTAATTAGTTATATTTGTATTGTCATGTAAATTTTATATTAATTGTATGATCATTATTTGTAGATCAATTTTTTTGATATTACTAAAAAATTAAAAAATTCGAATAACTCGGAGTTAACTATGCTCAGGTCGAGTTAAGGGTTGAGTTATAAAAAATATGTAACCGGACCACTTATGAGACTTGCTCTCCAAACCCGACTCGAGTTGACCCTGTAGAAGCACTAGATCAAATTAAATTAACAAAGCAATATAAAATATATAAATTTGGTTTTTCAGAAAAGGTTATTATTATTATCATAAACTGAAGTGTTGTAGTTAATATTATTAATAAATTGGTCGCGTATGTGACTAATAAAATTTTTGCTTTATTTTAAGATTATACCACAGCATAGTACAACGTTCACATGCTTAGTTAATAGTAAATAATTGTATTACAGGATCAGACCTAAAAGAGATAAGTGACATGTTGTGTAATATTTAATATTCTACGCCCATTATTTTATGCAGATCTGAAAATGGGATTTTAGAAAATCTTTAAAAACAAAATATTTCAATGAATAATGAGAATTTTATGAATGAATTGGCGAGTATTTGGCGTGATATTCTTATCATTGTAAATATTGTTGATTTTCAAAACAAGCTAATAGTAAACGTAAAACAAGAGGGGCTCTTATTTTATTTTATTTTTTTTGAATTGAATTTAGTAATATAAAGGATTTACTTTTGATTAATAAAAATTTTTGAATGTTTCGCGTAACATAAATTGAAATTTTATACTTTCGTTGGTTTTAAAATTATTGAAACGAAATGATCAGCAATCATATGATATATTAGTAATCAAAATGGGATAATTTTATATAGAATCGAGCACGTTATATGCACAAATACACATTACCACTTTTATTAAAATTTACTCTAATACGTCAAATTTTTAGAGAAATATGTAAACACTCACTTTATTACTTTAAATAGATAAAGAGCAACCTTCATTGCATGAAATTCCTAATTTCCCTTAATATAGATTTTTTGTGGCTTTCTGTAATTCAAAAAAAGTTGTGATTTCAACAGCTAAAGGTAATAATATTTTAAATTCATTTCCTTGATCCTCACATCCAATCTTTTTGACTTTATTTGACACACATCAATACTGTAGAAGGCATTATTTTATTTTTATTATTTTTTTAAAAAATTTTTTATAAATCTAATTTTTTATGATCTAATTTTTATTTGTTTGTCGTAAAAAAAAATGATCCGCACTTTACAAATATAAATTTACCAATCAAATTATTTTATGATATAATTTTATGGAAATTCACAATCTTATTTTTAAAGATTTTTTATTATCATTCTTTTTATATTATTTATTAAAAAAAAAAAGTATAAAAAGAACTTTGATGTGGCGGGTTTGGTGTTATATTTAGTATTAATAAACGAATGAAATGTTGTTAACGTTAACATTTTGTCCTTTTTTGTATGCTGATCATTTTTCCATTGTTTAGTATTTTCAATAAAAATATCTATAAATGTAATCTTAACTATTGTTGACGTACAAAATTCTAAATCCAGCCCGTTAAAACAATATATAAATAATCATTTATTTTATTACAAAATAAATAAATAAAGTGTTAGTTACATCTTGTCATACTTTATTCTTTATTTAAATATTGATCATAAGGCATTTTTTTCACAATGTCTTCTGTGGGTCAATGCACGTAAAATTACCTAAAATCGGGTTCCTTCTAAATCATAATTAGCTTATAACGTAGGGAACAAATTAATTAGAATCATCTGATAGTAATCATTGAAAATTTATGGTATCTATATAAATTTTCCCATTTAATATTATCATTTTATTGTTATTTTATTATTTACACGATATTATTTTGACTTGTATAAAGTTTCTGACAAAATTGATCGACCATATAATTATGGTTTATGGCCTAGACCCTTCCCCTTTCTAATTATTATTGGTGCTACGGGATTAACCAAAGTAATATGTTAATGATTTGACGATCAATGTCAACTGACAGATAAATGATGCATGCATTGTACATAAATGGAAATTAGGCTTTGCTTCCGATTCACTCGAGGAAAATGGAATATTCATATAATTCGGATATGTTTATATAAATCCAAACATAAAGTTTTTTATATTAACTAATTTATACCTTGATTTGATCAAAAATGTTTAGTGCATAGCAGATCAATTAAAAATCATTATGAACTTTCAATGCATTCCTAGATTCGTCTTTCATTTGAGAAAAAAATGACAATGTGATAATATATTAGCATTTTTTAATGGTTAACTTGAATAAAGATAGATTTTAGATATATTCAATGGGTCCGTTCTTAGTTGAATGGTTGAGTTTGGAAAAATATTACTAATATAAGGATAGACGGCGGGTTTTTTTGATATTGATAATCAGTCCTATCATGTTACTAATAAATAATAAATAAATCTTCATTTTTTTCTTTTTTTAAAAAAAAAATCATTTTCATTACGCTCTTAAATGATATTTTGTCATAATTTTTTACAATGTCTTTGGATACATTTAGAAACGAGATCCTTTCAAACTCTGACGAGGGTCGAGTTCAAGTCAATCAAAGAGATTTAATTGATAAGATTTTAGCTCGGTAAATCGTTAACTCTTACGTAATACAATGACATTATTATTCACTGTTTAGCTAAAAAAAAAAAATTATCTTTTTAGATACTCTTGTAAATTTGTAATATTCCGAGAATTAATGCAAAATTCTGGTAAAATATTTATTCTTTATATATTCAATTCATAATTTATACAAAAAAAAAAAATTTAATTATTTTCGTTTACGTACTTTAATAAAGATGATGCGGAATCATCAAGTGCTAAAATTATTTTTGAAACCAATGGTAATAAGATTACAAGAATAATATTTAAAAATAATGGATTCGCTTTTAGACCTGAAGATTGGGAACGCTTAGTGAGAATTGCTGAAGGAAATCCTGATGAACAAAAGGTAAAATAATAATAATAATAATTTTATATTCATATCAACTTTTTTTTAATTAAATAATTTTTATCACTTTTATTGATAAAATTTCCTTTTTATAACATTAATAGATAGGAGCTTTTGGCGTAGGATTTTATTCATTGTTTGCTGTTACAGAAAATCCATTGTAAGTATTTTATTTTTCTCTTTTACTCACCGTAATAAATAATAATAACGTTAATATTTACTAGTGTTTCTTCTGGCGGACAAGGTATGGCTTTTTATTGGCGTGGAAAACAAATATTCACGAAACAAGGACCAATTGACGATGGTGATGACAAAGGTTGGACAACATTTTTGATGGACACTAGGGAACCTTTAGTGGTAAATATTGCTTAAACATAATTAAACATAATTATATATAAAATATATCATGATATTTATCCCCTTTTTTATCGTTAATTAGATACCGAATATTGAAGAACTCTCAAAGTTCTTGGTCAATTCATTGGTAAGTTAGTTATATAATATCGCTAACTGGTATTATTTAATTTTATTAATATTATATTTCTTCCATAACAATAATAGGGGTTTACGGATAACCTTAAAGAAATCTCAATGTATATTGATAATAAATTAGTAATAAAACTATCAAAGAAAATGCAAGATCCGGAATCGATTGATATTACATCTAGGTTTAATACATTTTCTTCAAAAAATATGTTTAATCTCACATCGGTAGATCTTAGATGTGTCCAACTAGACGTTGAAAGATTACTTCTACCAAAAAAAATAAATATAAAACATCTTCGCTCAGATGAGTATAATACGGAGGAAGCTTCTGCAATATTTAGAATTGCCAAAGGAAGTTTGAACGTTAAGATTAGTAAAGAATTTTCAGCAAAAATGGGACGAATAACTAAGAAAAGTCCACCAAATAATACATCCATCCAAATGATTTTTACTGAATTTGATGAACGTAATACATCCAAAGATTATTATAAGAATCTTTCTCCTATATTTGAAGATTTAATTTCATATCCTGAACAAGGAAAAATATATATTGGTTTCCCAACTAATCAAACAACCGGTTCTAGTTCTCACTTAGCAGCTCGTGTGATTCCTACTGTAAGTATATTTTAACTTATATAGACCATGATTTATTAAATGTTAGCATTATCTTAACATAATTATGCTCTTCTAGATGGAACGAGAGTTGATTGATTTTGCTGAACAAACATTAGCTGAATATAACATTGAAATGTTATGTCTAGGAGGAACATTGAGCAGAATTTTATACGAATATGAAATGGCTCAAATGTCGATCTTCTGTAATGAGATTATCAGTTCTTATATTGAAAATTATGAAGAATATGAAGAAACAAAACAGCCTAAAAAGCGTGCACCTGAGCCAAAAATGAAAAGATCGTTATATAGATGGCTTACAAAACGTTTCAAATTCAGTAATCATGCTAATTACACTTCTACCTTGCAATTAACATCTTCTCACCGTCAATTGTTTGAAAAATGGGCAGCACATGCGATATCACACTTTACATACAATGCAAGTACTCCGAATGTACGAGTTTCCGAAATAGCAGAAAAACAATTTTTTAATTGTTTGGAACAGAACTTGCTTATTTTATCAACAAACGGTGTCCATCCAATAACTGATGTTCGCTTACCTAATCCAGAAATGGCAGGATTCATAAAGACAGTTCCACTTGTTCCAAAAAATTTGTTGGAACAATGTGAAATTTTTTTTAATAAAGCCAAAGGTGCAAATTTTATAACAGAGTTAAGTTTTGAGGATGTTCTGGTTGAACTAAAAAGTCGAGCACTTTCTGAAGAAGAAATAATTAAACTTTTTAAATGGTGGATTTCTTATCTATCAAATGGAAATCCATATGACACGCGGCTTTTAACATTTACACAATTCGGTGACAGTTCTCAAACACTAGATACAATTAAATTTTATTTGAATCCACACAAAATTTCCTCAGATATTGACATTCCATTTGAAGTAATACCATATATTATTTCTAAAAATTTCACTCAGCAAGAGCTTACGAATGGTTTGAAATGGAAAGAATTACCATTGGTTAATTGGGCAAACTTTATTGTCAATGATCCTGGATTAGAAACAGACCCTAAATTTGCTGAAAAAATTCATCATGTTTTGGCAAAAAATTTAGAAAGTATTCCACAACAAGATAAAGAAACTATTCGTCTATCATTTATTGCAAAAAGATGTATACCAACTAAATTTGGAATGAAATTTCCTAATGAATCTTATTTCGAAGATGTTAATCTATTTCCTAACTTGCCAACGATAAAATTTCAAAACTCCACATCGGGTATTCGATTTTTGATGGGACACTTTGGAGTTCGTAAGGTAATGATAATTCATTATGGATTTCCGATAATTTTAGAGAATTTTTTTTTAAAAACAATTAATTAAATTAATTATATAGATTGTAGAATTAAAACTCATTCTTGAACGACTTGTCAATCAAGAAGATTGTAACTTTGTTGGAGTTGTAAAATATCTTGCTTCAATATATGATGAACTCAAAGATAATGAAAAGAATATATTAAAAAACGAATCAATATGGCCTAAAGAAGATTTATTAGGTTCACAAACAACTAAAAAAATTCAACGTTTTGTTGCCAGAGATTTATATGTACCTATAAGATCACTTCGTGAACTTGGTTTATCTATAATTGATTGGAATGCAGAATGGTCTAATAGCTCAAAAGGAGGTAGTATAACTAACTATTATTTAATTTGTTTGTTTATCTTATCAAGTTATACATATTTAATTAATTAAAATTTATAGGAAAATTTTTAATTGAATTGGGTTTACAAGAATATCCCAAACTCGAAACAATTCTTAACCTGGCGGTATTTTCAAATGATCCTAAAATTCGAGAATTAGCTCTTAAATATTTTATTGATAATTATGATAAATATTCCGTACATTACAAACCTGCTGAAATTAATATTGCATTTTTACCTTGTTCAACATTCAATACTTACGCAAAACCTTCGGAGTGTTTTACTAATGATAGATGCATAATAATGAATTTCAAAGTTATACGTGAAGATTTACGTTCTAAAGCAGAAAAATTTGGTATTCAACAACATCCTAATCATGATAAACTCGTAAAGAGGTTAACTGAGAATCCACCACAAGGTGAAAATAACGCAATGAAAGTTTTTGAATATTTGTATTCACGACAACACGACTTTACCGATGCTGATTGGAATATTCTTAACAATTCCGAATTTATTCCAATAAAAAATGAGAACAAACATATAAAACCACGTGATTGTTTCTTTAAACTTAAGGATGAAAAGTAAGTACTCTTCAAATATAACTCTCTTTTTTTAATAAAAATTTTATAGATACTTTAACAACAATTATTATTGATTATTATTTAGATTGAATGAGTTTTTTCTTTGTGTTGATTTTGGAACAAAGGCCAATGAATTTCTGTCCAAATGTGGTGTTAAAAAGCAAACTTCAAATGATTTTGCCGAAATAAAAGTTGATCCATCACATAAATTATGGAAGTTATATGTAGAAAAATTTCCAGTCATCCTAGAAAACATTAATCCAAACCTTGAAAAAATTCTCAACTTGGCAGCTCCTCCTACCGATCTTAAATTACGTACAACGGCTCTTAAATATTTTATTGACAACTTTGATAGAAAATACGTTGGAGTTTACAATCCAGGAACGGTCAATATTGCATTTTTACCTTGCTCAAATTCCAATGCTTATGCAAGTCCTTCAGATTGCTTTATTAATGATGAATGTATGATAATGAATTTCCAAATTATACGTAAAGATTTACGTTCTAAAGCAGAAAAATTTGGTGTCCAACAAAATCCTGATTATAAAAAACTCACAGAAAAGTTAATTGAGAATCCACCACAAAATAAAAATGAGGCAAAAAAAGTTTTTGAATATTTGAATAAATTTAATTATAATTGGAATACACTTATAAATTCTCAATTTATTCCAATTCAAGATGAAAATAGTCCCAATAACAAATATATCAAGCCAAATGACTGTTTCTTTAAACTTAAAGATGATATGTATGTACTTTTTAAATACAAATATTTTTTTAACGAAAGTTGCATGTTTTTTAAAAATTATATATATATTTCTTCTTTTTTTTTTAGCTTGAATGAATTCTTTCTCTGTGTTGATTTTGGTACAAAGGCCAATAGATTCTTAGCTAAATGTGGCATTAAAGAACCATCATCATATGATTTTGCAGGATTATCAGTTGATCCATCACATAAATTGTGGAAGTTATATGTAGAAAAGTATCCTGTCATCCTAGAAAAAATTAATCCAAATCTCGAAAAAATTCTCAAACTGGCAGCCCCTCCCATTAATCCTAAATTACGTGCAATGGCTCTTAAATATTTTATTGACAATTTTAAAAAAAAATACGTTAAAAATTATAAACCAGAAGAAATCAATATTACATTTTTACCTTGCTCAAATTCCGATACTTGTGCAAAGCCCTCAGATTGCTTTATTAATGATGAATGTAAAATAATGGGATTCAAAATTATACGTGAAGATTTACGTTCTAAAGCAGTGGATTTTGGTATTCATCAAAATCCTAATTGTGCAAAACTTATAGAGAGGTTAACTGAGAATCCACCAAAAAGTGATGATGTGGCAAAAAAAGTTTTTGAATATTTGAATACACAACAAAAATGTTTTGTTAATTCTGATTGGAAGAAGCTTGAAAATTTGAAGTTTATTCCGATTCAATATGAAAGTCAACCTAATAAACTTTTTAATCCACGTGAATGCTTCTTTAAACTCAAAGAAGAAAGGTATGTACTTTTTGAAAATTTTTTTAATAAATATCTTTTGTTTTCTTAAAGAAAATATTTTCCCTTTTTTTAGCTTAAATAATTTCTTTCCATGTGTTGATCTTGGTACAAAGGCCAATGAATTTTTGGCTAAATGTGGCGTTAGAGAACCATCATCATATGATTTTGCCGAAATATCGGTTGATCCATCACATGAATTGTGGAAGTTATATGTAGAAAAATATCCAGTCATCCTAGAAAAAATTAATCCAAATCTCGAAAAAATTCTCAAACTGGCAACTCCTCCTACCAATCCTAAATTACATGCAATGGCTCTTAAATATTTTGTTGACAATTTTGATAAAAAATACGTTGAAAATTATAAACCAGAAGAAATCGATATTGCATTTTTACCTTGCTCAAATTCTAATTCTTATGCAAAGCATTCAGAATGTTTTATTAATGATGAATGTAAGATAATGGGATTCAATATTATACGTCAAGATTTACGTTCTAAGGCAGGAGATTTTGGAGTTCGTCAAAATCCTAATCGTGTAAAAATCATAAATAAGTTAATTGAGAACCCTCCAAAAAATGTAAATGTGGCAAAAAAAGTTTTTGAATATTTGAATACACAACAAAAGGGTTTTATTGATTCTGATTGGAAGATGCTTAAAGATTTAGAATTTATTCCAATTCAACATGACGAACTTATTAAACCACGTGACTGTTTCCTTAAACTCAAAGAAGAAAGGTATGTACTTTTTTAAAAAATTTTTTTTTAATGAATATCTTTTATTTTATTTTTTCTTTTTAAAAAAAAACTATTTCCCCTTTTTTTTTAGCTTGAGTAATTTCTTTACATATGTTGATTTTGGTACAAAAGCCAATGAATTTTTGGCTAAATGTGGCGTTAGAGAACCATCTTCATATGATTTTGCCGAAATATCAGTTGATCCATCACATAAATTGTGGAATTTATATGTGGAAAAATATCCGATCATACTAGAAAAAATTAATCCAAATCTCGAAAAAATTCTCAACCTGGCAGCCCCTCCTACCAATTCTAAATTTCGTGTAATGGCAATTAAATATTTTATTGACAACTTTGATAAAAAATATGCTAAGGTTTATAAACCAGAAAAAATCAATATTGCATTTATACCTTGCTCAAATTTCGATGCTTGTACAAAGCCTTCGGATTGCTTTACTAATTATAGATGCATGATAATGAATTTTAAAATTATACATGAAGATTTACGTTCTAAAGCGGGAAAATTTGGTGTTTGTCAAAATCCTAATCGTGCAAAACTCATAAATAGGTTAATTGAGAGCCCACCAAGTAATACAAATGTGGCAAAAGAAGTTTTTGATTATTTGAATACACAACAAGAAAGTTTTACTGATTCCGATTGGAAGAAGCTTGAAAATGTAAAATTTATTCCTATTCAATCTGCTAACAAACTTGTTAGTCCACGTGACTGTTTTCTCAAACTCAAAGAGGAAAGGTATGTACTTTTTGAACGCAAATATTTTTAATGAATATCTTTTTTTTTTAAATAGAAAAATATTTTCTTTTTTTTTTAGTTTGGATAATTTCTTTCTATGGGTTGATTTTGGTACAAAGGCCAATGAATTTTTAGCCAAATGTGGCGTCAAAAAACCATCCTCGTATGATTTTTCCAAAATATCAGTTGATCCATCACATAAATTATGGAATTTATATTTAGAAAATTATTTGAAAATTTTAACAAAAATTAATCCCGACCTCAAAACAATTCTCAACCTGGCAGCAAAATCAAATTATCCTAAAATTCGGGAGTTAGCTTTCAAGTATTTTATTGATAATTTTTATAGTAAATATTCAAAGTTTTATAAACCAGAAGAAATCGATGTTGCATTTTTACCTTGCTCAAATTCTAATTTTTATGCAAAGCATTCGGAATGTTTTATTAATGATAAATGCAA